TTGTGTGGGTGAGCTGGGCATAAGGGGGTTTTGTCGGGCTGTGCCTCCAGGTGGACTGAAGAATGCATGTGGCCACAGGGCGTGCTGGTGAAGCACAGCAAGAACGTCTACAAAGCAGTGGGCCACTACAACGTGGCCATCCCCTCTGACGTCTCCCACTTCCGGTTCCACGTGAGTCTCCTCCCCTGGGAAGGAGGGGTGGGGCCTGATCTAGAGGGCAGGAGGATCAGCTGGGCAGGAAGGTGATGTCATAGCAAGAGGCGGCTATTTTCAATATTTCCCAAATCCAAAAGAAGACAATGCACATGTGCAGCCCAAGGACAGCCATACAAATGATCCCTTCATAACTGTAGCTCACTTGGTACCAGATCTTTGAAAACATTGGGTGGAGGTAGAAAAGATGGCACAACAAAAGGAGGGGTTCTTGGTGGTGGAAATAATTACACTCGTCATTCCTTACTGTGTGCCAGGCACTGTGGTAAACACTTCCCATGCACCCTCCCATTCAGTCTTCACCAGAATCTTGTGTATGAAAGAAATACCAGGGCTGTCCTGGTTTTCAGGTACTGAAATCAGCTTAGAGAGTTTAACTTGTTCCAAGGGTGCCTTACTGGGAAACTTGGGAACTAATGGTAATGGCTCATGGACTCAGTACTATGGAAAGGGCTGCTCAAAATCATCTGGGCTGGTGATTTCCATTTTATTTACTTACTTTACTGTCAAAATGCTTTTTTCCAACTCAGTCAAACTAAAGTTCAATTTATAGGACTTCTTGGCGCTGCTCTGTTTGAAAGGGTTGGAACTCCCCTCACTTCCTGCTTACCACTGTGGTAGCCCCTGAAAGACCTCCTGGAACCTGGGGCTCTGAGGAACACAGTTTGAGAAATCATTGATCTGGGCTAACCTCTTCTTTTCCCAGTAGAGAAGCCTGAGGTTCAGACAGGGAAGGGACTTGCCCAAGGTCCTGCAGCTTGTCAGGTGCAGAGCTGAGCCTGGCGTGCTGGTCTTTCGGACTCCTGTTTCCTGGCACTTCTCCTGCCATCCTATAATCAGCTCTTGAGGTTTAGGTACCTTGGCCCCTGCAGAATCAAGATCCCTGGACATCGATCATTCTTTTAAACTGACCAGAAACATTTTCTTAGTCTCTACACTCTACCTTGCCCTGTAGACACCAGGTAAGAGTGATGTGTCTCTGTGTCCCCTGGAAGCTTCCGGCCTAGCGGGGGATGCTACACATGAAATAGTAAATGACTCAGGCTGTAGAGTCTATAATAACTTTCCATGCGTCTGTCATAAGATTCTACTTTGTTCAGGCCTCACAGTACCCAGGAAGTCACATATAATAAGGTGTTGGTTTTCGACCAGCAAGAGTCTGAGAGAACAAGCAGGACTTCTCAAGAAAAGCTTCTGGGAGGAGGTGGAAGTTGATCCGGATCTTTTTTTTGTTTTTTTTGATCCGGATCTTAAACAGCTTCTGTGGGAAGCAGTAGTCTTGACAGAAGGAACACCACAAACAAAGGCAGAGAGATGGCAAGGTCCACGCCCAACCCTACGAAGTCTTCCTCCCCACCCAAGTCTGCATGGGGCCCAAGAGCTTGACCCCTTCACTGGCCTACCCAGAACCCCCTTCCAAGAGGCAGGTTTCTGGAGCCCACTTTCCAGTCCATGCCTACTCTTTCCTGGGCAGTTCTTTTTCAGCAAACCCCTGCGGATCCTCAACATCCTTTTGCTGCTGGAGGGCGCTGTCATCGTCTACCAGCTATACTCCTTAATGTCCTCTGATAAGTGGCACCAGACCATCTCACTGGCACTGATCCTCTTCAGCAACTACTACGCCTTCTTCAAGCTGCTGCGAGACCGCCTGGTATTGGGCAAGGCCTACTCGTACTCAGTCAGCCCCCAGAGGGACCTAGACCACCGGTTCTCCTGAGCCCCAGGGCGACCCAGGGAGAGCATCCAGGCTTCAGCCAGGGGCTCCCTGGGAAGCGGCTGTTGGGGAGGGATGGGTGAGGGGCAAAAAAAAAAACAAAAACAGACAAAAAAAATCCACCAGAGCTTTGTATTTTTGTTACATACTGTTTCTTTCTTTGATAATTGATGTGATTATGAGGAGAAAAAAAAAGTCCTATTTTTATACTCCCAATAAGCCTGTGTCCTGTATTTCTTTCTCCTTTTCTTGCCTGTCAGGCAGAGAGCAGAGGTGTGGGATTCTTGGCCAGGACACCCCATGTGTGGATTCTGGGTCCCCTGTGAGCTCTGCCTTCTCCGGTGGAGAAAAGATGAGACACCCGAGGTCACCGTAGCATGGTAGCTGCTGCTGGCTGAATGTTCGCTGTGTGCCAGAGGCTGCTCTACGTGTATGACAGGCCTTGCCTTAATCCAGTTTTTATGACAACCCTAGGAGGTAGGTGCTGTCCCTCCTGTAGATGAAAACAGGAGCCCAGGGAGCTATCTATCATGACTTGCCCAAGGTAACACAGCTAGGAAGTGATAGCACTGGGTCCCAAAACCCTCTGAAAGATAACACTACTATCCCAGCAGAATGTGATGTACTGATTCCGAGCACGCAGTCACTGAGACCCTGCTCTGTGTCAGATGCCGAGGTAGATGGTGAAGATGCCAAGACACAGAAACAAGTCACTACACTGGGAGGGGTATAACAGTTACAAGGTACAGAATAGCACAGGGGAGAGAACATTTAACACTCTCTGGACTTCTTGGAGGAGGGGATAGTCTGAGTTGTATCGGCCACTTCCTAGGTGGACAAGAGGGGTTAAAGGCGCTTCAAGCCGAGCAGTAGCATTCTGGGGTATTTGGAGAAGTTAAGCAGAAAGTGGTTCCTAGAGCAAGAAAGATAAGGAAAGTTGGGGGGAGGTGGGCTGGATCTGGAAAGGTCTGCAGGGACTGGATCAGGGAGGACCCATGGCTCTAGGCTAGGGAGGGTGTGTGAGCAAGGCCAAGGGCTTGAATGGAAACAAAGCCGCTTGGAAGGCCACCTGGCTCCTGTGGAGCATAGGATGGAGGGGGGGGCGGGGGGCGGTGCTGGCAGGAGAGGAGACATGGTCATTGCCATTCATCTAGTCTGCCTGTGTCCCCTGAGCCCTTGTTTGGCTACAAGTTATGCAGATGCTCCAATGGTGGTGTACAGGAGGCAGACACTGCAGCAAATGTTTGTGGTACCTCTGCTGAGGCAGGCATTGTTCCAGGCACTGGGACAGAAACAAAGATGAGGAAGCTACTGTCCCTTCATAGACAACCAGGAGAGACACCTTGTGAACAACCTAGATTGCCAGTTGCTGAGGAAAATGTGTGTCCAGGGCACCGGGGAGCAGAAAGGACAGATAGTCTGACTCTGTCTGGAAAGACAGGCTTTTTCAAGAAGGTGAAAATTGTATTCGGTCTTGAAAGTGAGTAGTTCACCTCATAGTCAAGGGGGAAGGGAGGGCATTGCGTTCCAAGCAGAGGAAAGAGCATATGCAAAGGCACAAAAGAAGATAGGAGCATATTTGGGGGAATGTGGTTCCCCAAATATGGATGGAGCCTGGGTTGCCTGGCAGGGAGTAGCCCAAGAAGCCAGTAAGGACCAGCCTAACTGTCAGATTGAAATGTTTGGGCATTACCTAAGGCCATTAGTAGGAAATCACTAAGCAGAGGACATGATAAGGTCTCTGCTTTTAAAGAGATAATGGGTGTGAGTGGGAGAACCTGGAGGCACACCAGTGAGGAGGCAGGTAAAATAGACCAACAGAATGAAGAGGTCTGACCTTGAGCAGTGGCAGTAGGAAGAGAAAGATAACACTCCCTTTCCTGACCCTGAGTCCTAGAATTGGCTTTTTGAGTTGTTTCCCTCAGTGGGCCAGGTACACAACTAGAGGTGGCAGTTTGTTATGACAGGACCTGGGCTTCCAAAAGATAGCTCCCTCTTGGGACCAGTGACTTGAAGACATAGCCTTCCTCTGTGTGTTGAGGTGGGGGACAGAAGGACCGGAATCCTATTATGCAAAAAGGGAGGTCTAATGTGTACCAGCCATAAGTTCCATGATTCAGAAGACACACAACAACAGGATTTCCCTGGTGGTCCAGTAGTTAAGAATCCGCCTTCCAATGCAGGGGACGTGGGTTCGATCCCTGGTCGGGGAACTAGATCTCGCATGCCGCAACTAAGAAGTCCACATGCTGCAGCTAAGAAGCCCACATGCCCCAACTAAAGATCCCGTGTGCCACAATTAAGGACCTGGCACAGCCAAAATAAATAAATATTAAAAAAATAAAAAAGAGATGCATGAACCTCAGAGCCTCAATTTCCTCATCTCTAAAAAGGGAGATCATATCCCTTTTTTTGTGTAACTCACAGATCTGTTCATTCGTTTGTTTGAATGAATATTCAACAATTATTCATGGAGCACATACCACGTGCCAGATGCTGTGCTAGGTGCTGGAGGTCAGTGATGAACACTATAGAACTAACTTGTGCCCTCAGAGAGCTTGCAGTAAGGCTAAATGAAATAGCTCTGTCAACTATAAAGCACTGCACCGGTCTCATTATTTTTCTACTTTGTATCTCCCAATAAGATTGTAATCGGGTTTACTCTAGACTTCTTCATTTCCTTATCGCTATATCCTTGAGCAAGTCGCTTCACCTTTCCAGATGACTCCTTATTCATATATCCAGCTCAGGGTCTATGGGTGGTTTTAACTACAAAAGGAAGGAATACCTTTCTGGAAGAAAAAGTTTCTACGGGAGGAGACCTCACTACAAAAAGGAAATAGCAGAAAAAGCTGAGAAATCCTAAGCACACTTAACTTTCTTTAGTAGGTATCCCTCCCAGTTTTTCTCCACCCACTCCTTTCATATTCCATCCTTATTCCCCGCCTTTAGTAGCTGCGGTCTCTTTAAATGCGGTCGTCGCTGTGAACTAGGCGGTGGGGCCGAAAGCGCGTTTCTTCCCGGGATTGTTAAGTTGTTTGTCCGTTTCGGGCTGCCGTCCTGCAGATCCGCCATATTGTCTGCTGAAGCTGCCGCCGAAGCTGCCGCCGCTGCCGCCGCCAAATAGGAGCGAGCGGAGCCGCGATGGGTGAGTAAGGAAACCAGGCAGTTGGGGACTCGGGCTCAGGCAGTCTCGGGGCTTGGAGTCTGGCGAGAGCCTGTCTGCAGTCTGCAGAGGATGTCTGAGTCTCCTCCAAATAGGTTTGAGGGGAGAAGCCAGGCCGGGAGCGCCGCTTAGGCCAGTTTGGGGCCAGGTTAGGGCCCAAGCGGGGAGCAGTCTTTGGGGGCTGGTTTCGGGAACACCTTGCCACTCCTGGAGCCCCCACGTGGTGACCCTGGGCCGGACCCCACGCGTTCCCGGAGGTTAGAAAGGGGCTGACCCTCCGGTCTGGGCCGGGCTCCCGGTGGCAGGCCCGGGAGGCGTTTAAGGCAGCTCTCTCCGGCGTGTGTCTGACCGACGCGCCTCTTAACTGGATTCACTGGTTGCCCTGAACTCAGGGAAATCCTCCCTACCTCGCGGAGAGAGTTCTCTGGCGAAGGGACGCCAGGCGAGCCAGCTCCAGGCCTGTAACCAGGGGCAGCCATGCCGAAGGCAGCCTGGGCCGCTGAAGGCCGGGAGAACTTACCGAGCCGAGGCGGAAATGGGGTGGTTCGGTTGGGTTCAGAGTGACAGCCTTCGTAGTGGTAGAAAACCAGTGCCAAGATCTCGTAGTCATGTATAGGTCGGGGGCTTTAGGTTTCTGGGCCTGGCCCTGGTTAGGAGAAAAGGAGCGACCTGTTGCTCTTTCTAAAAGGACTCCAGGTAGCAAGGCCTGTGCTCGGAGAGAATGCGATGGCGAAGTCTTTGGACTTAGGGACAGAACCATCAGTGGTACTTCTTCTCCAGTAATGAGAACTATTAAATTTGCTAAGCTCTTCCTGTGTGCAGGCATTGCTCTGATTGCTTTACATGTCACGTTTTATTTAATATGCACAACCTATTTATTGAGATAGATACTGCTGTTTTCCCTATTTTACAGATAGGGAAACTGAGGCTTAGGGAGGTAAAGTAACTTACCCAAGGTCACACAGTCAGTGGCTGAAACCAGGTTGATCGCTCCAGAGCCCTAGTTTATAGCTGTTGTTCTTTATGGCCTGGCCCCCAAGTGATTGGGCTGGAAAAGGGGGAAAGAAAGCTTTTAATCCTAGGCAGAGTTGTAAAGGTGTTTTGTATTTTTGCTAGTGGGCCCACTTTGAAATCTTTAATCTGAAAGAAACTGGAAAACTGCAAAGTGAATTGCTAACCCCAACTATTGTGGGTGTGTTGGGGGTGGGGATTGAGATTCTGGGATTGAGTTTTGTAAGAAACCTGATCCTGAGGAAACATAAATTACTCCCTTGAGCTGCACGGCAATGACTTTAGAATCAGATCTGGTATTATAATCCTGCCTGCTACTTTGTAGCTCTCATCTAGAGAAGTCACTTAAATGTCAGATGCAGTGATGCATATGGAAAACATCCAGCACAGTCCACGATAAATGTTATTTTCTTCCTTTCTGAGCCTTCCTTTCCTCATCTCTAGAAAGAGGGGAGGGGGTAGGGTTATCGAGGTGTTTGAGAATTAAATAAGATACCACAGTGTTTGGAGACTAGTAAGGGCTCTATAAATATCAGAACAGATTCTTTTCCACTTTCAGTAATGTTTTCAGTAATGTTTGTTCCTTTCCTTTAAGTACTCTGGTTTCCAGAATCCTCCATTAAGACTGATAGGCCTGTCCTTGTAGCTGCAACTTTATGTATCAATGAAAAATTTTAGGGGCTTTTATGTTATAGATTTTGTATTGGCCTTCAATTTCAGGAACACTGCTGCCTCAAAGGGAAGGGGCTAATATTTAGTTTATTAAGCCCAGTGAAATAAATTTGACAGCGATTTACTCAGTTTTTACAGATGGGGAAACTACCTCAGAGAATATAACACAGTTAGTTACAGCAAAGCCAAAAGTGAGATTCTTACCCATTTTGCTGCACATAAACCTCTAAGAAGACTTCAGGTGTGATTAAATTTAATCCTTTTCTGGTAAACTTTGAAATGGAAGTTCTTCAATAGAGCAACAGAACCTGACCAGGGTCCTGAAGGGGAGTTTTAGTCTAGAGTCAGGCAGCCTCCTCTCTTCTCTGCAACTCTATTTCAGATACCTCCCCGCCACCCCCATCCCACCTTGCACCTTGTCTTTCTGAACACCAGGCCATTGGGGTTTTTGTTTTGTGGGTTTTTTGTGTGTGTGTTGGTTATTTTTGTTTTTTTCTCTGATCCTTATACTACGGGGTGAAATGTATCCTTACATTTAATCCTCACATCAAATCCGAGATAATTTGGGTTATCCCCATTTATAAATGAGCAAACAGGCTTTGAGAAGATTAGGTGATTAAGTCCAAGGCTGGTGATCTAGGCCCTAGGGCTGGGGACACTAACATGGCCTGCGTCACACCTCCATGAATCTAGAACCTGCTGTGTTTCACTGCCTCTCAAGAGTACGCTCCTCGAGCTCTGGCCTATATCCTATACTATTTCTCCTGTGCCAAACTTCACTAGCCTTAACAGACCTTTGCAGTGATTTCATTGCTCTTAGGAACCCTGTGGGGTTGAGGCTTGCAGCTCTGGAAGTTACTTTTTCAAATCCTCCCTAGCAGAGACCACAGCCTCTCAAGACTAAGTCTTGGCAGACACCGGTTGTTTTTATCACTGTTCCTGCCATCCTGCTAACCAGGAATCTGGCAGCACCTTTCCAGCCCCAGGGGGTAGGTCTTGATTGATATAAACTAAACCAATCATTGTAATTCTATCTCCCTAGGCTGTGATTGATTTAGGTATGGGCATGTGATGCAGATTTTGGCTAATGAATGTGAAGGGGAGCCTGGAGGACTTCTGAAAAAGCGTTCCTTATTTGCCAAGTTTTATTCTGTTGTTTTTTTTGCCACTTTATATTTTAACCCAGGTATCACCAAAGTGTGAGAGCTTCAGAGAGATAGAGAGATAGGAAAGCTATAATAATAGCGAACACTTACATAGAACTTGCTATGTGCTAGGCACTAAGTACTGTAATACTAATTCGTTTATTTCTCAGATTCTCACATTCTAGTTGAGAAAACTGAAGCACAGAGAGGTTCAGTAACTTAAGCAAGGTCACAGCTAGTAAATAGAGGAAATACTCAGGTAGTATGGTTCTAACCAAAATATGGGCTATTAAGGGCTGTGTTCTGCCTCTGGAAAGGAAAGATCCCTTTTCTGACTCTGAAATTGCCATTAGCAATGCTGGGATCATGAAGCAGAATTTAGAAATAAGAGCAGGCAGTTCTAAGGGTGAGGGTCCAGAAGACGGAAAGAATCTGATTTCTTCATGATGTTTTTGGAACTGTCCTGTCACTGGGCTCTAGGATACTAAAAGCTGCTTCTGGTTTGCTGCAAGTAACAAAACCTTTCTGATAATGCCTCCAGGTCAGGAAGTAATTTAGCCCATTTCTTAGTTTCCCTAC